ACTCGCTCAATTTTGCTTTTAAAGTAGAAATACCTATTATAAAATTGAATTGAGACAATATTACTGAAGGTAAGTCGTTGCGTTTTTCCCATTATATCCAATATAACGTTCATTATATCGTTTAGAAAATAGAAAAATTTCAACATTTTTAAAATACCTTTAACATTTAAAAATTTAAATTTAAAAAAAACGCAACTCTTATACATTTATTGAGATTGGAAATGTATACAAATATATATAATACTAGCTGATCCCGTGCACTTCGTCGCCCGTTAAATGTATCAACTCAATATGACTCAAACTTTGTTCAATTCATTATTCAATATTCGGTGTATGGTGTTCAAAATTTATCTTATCTTTTCCGTTGACCGGAATAAAAATTCTGAATCGCAGCAGTACATTGTCAGGTAGGCAATCTACCTGCGGTAGATCGCGGACCCCGTGCTGTTTGTACGGAAGTGTATGATTTAACTCTAAATTATCAAAGTTATACCAAGTTTATTTTGATATAATACGGTGGATTAATATAACAAATTTGGTTGCTCGTAAAAAATCACAACTCTTAAAAAAATTATGATTGTTGAACTCCTTTTGGGTGTAACTTGCTGGGGTAAGTGCAACTCAGCTTCCCTGGTAGGCAATGTTCAATAATTTGATTTGATGCAAGCTTGTACCTGATCTGCCCGAATAACCAATGGCAACCAATAAATAAATGCTAATTTCTAATGTAGACTGTAACCAATGGCAACTATTAATAAATAAAAATAAAATTTCCAATTTCCATCTTGAATCTCAATGTCCCTGTTTGAGCACCTATTTAAAATGCGAATTTCGAAAAATCCTTTCTAAGCGCACGTCTACATCATAATAGCTATCTGTATGCCAAATTTCAGCCAGATCCGTCCAATGGTTTGAGCTGTGCGTTGATAGCAGTCAATCAGCTTACTGTTTTATGTATACATAACATATATATATATATATATATAAATTATAAATGTACATACCTAGAAAAATTATCACTTTCTGAGTACCAAGTAAAAACATTAGAAATTAGAACTAAGAGGCAACATCAATGCGAAGAATGGTACATTGAGAGAAAAAACGGTTAGTATTCACAAATTTAAATTTAACTGATTCAATATTATTATTGTTGTTTGACTATATTATTATTTACAGACTTACTGCATCTCTCTTTGGAAAAATTTGTAAATTGCGTGAAAAAACATCTCGTATGAAAACGGTAAATGATATTTTATTTGGGACATTTACCGGAAATGCCGCAACTAGATATGGAATTGCTAATGAAGTAGTAGCAAAAGAACAATTGGAAGCACAATTAAAAATAAAAATCCTGCCTTCTGGTTTATTTGTTGATGTAAAATTACCATTTTTAGCAGCTTCCCCAGATGGTATTATAGGTGATGATTCGTTGGTAGAAATTAAGTGTCCAGCTAGTGCTAAGGAACTTTCACCAGAAGAAGCGATAAGTATTGGCAAAATTAAAAGTTGCTTGGTAAATAATGGACAATTACAACTAAAACGTAATGATAATTATTATTACCAAGTTCAGGGGCAATTACATATCAGTCGGAAAATGTATTGCTATTTTTGTATATGGACCCCATAAGGTAATCAATATTGTTTAAATAATTAAAACATTAAATTAATAATACCTAAAAATTATATTGTTTTTTCAGGTTTGATGTACGAAAAAAATACAACGTGACGATGAATTCTGGGAAAATAAAATGAAAGTTAAATTGGAACTTTTTTATTTGGAACATCTTTTGCCGAATTTAATAAAAGAGGAAATAAATTGTAATAATTAAATTAATGAATCATGATAATATTATAATTTATATAATAAATAAAAATAAAAAAATGTATAAACCAACAATTATATTATTCAAAAATATAAAAATAGAGTCATAATTTTTATGCCACTGACCCATATCCATATTGTTGAATGCAAATGCTATTTTGTCTTGCGGTGGTGTCATCATAATATAAGTTATGTCTGGCTGAAATTACCGCCACTTCTACCGTGGCAATATGTGTGCGGTACTTTACGGTAACTGAGTAGTTATACTATTAGGATTGTAGTATTGTTTTTTAGCTATAAACCAATTTACTATGAAGTATTATCTATTATTTATTACCATTTAATTAAGTACAATAATATTATTATTATGTTATCGTAATTAGGTAATAGTAATTGTAAATTCGGTGAATTGCAGCATGTCTAATGACAATGGCTATTATGTGAAACCAGTTTTTGAACGGATAGTGAGTTCGGAGAGTACACAATTACGAATTACACACACTAATGTTCATTTACTTCCAACACATTGACATGGACCCATATGCACTGCAATATAAATTGCCTAGTTTTTACTCCTTAGAATAGACTACGCTCCAGCCCCCTTAACTCTAAAGTATCAAAGTTGAAAGTTATACCAAGTTTATTTCGATATAATACTGTGGATTTTTGTATCTATTATTTTTTTTTTTTTATATATATAACCAATACCTTAGCAACCATTTATAAACAATTATTTCTACCGTAAATTATCAAAATCCCTGTTTGAGCACTTCTTTTATTTTTTTCTGGACAACCCTTATCACTTAGGGGTATGAAAAATAGATGTTAGCCGATTCTCATACCTACTGAATATGCACAAAAAATTTCATCAAAATATGTCAAGCCATTTCGGAGGAGTATGGCAACGAAAACTGTGACACGAGAATTTTATATATTAGATATAAAACTGGATATTTTCCAATAATTTAGGGATGGCAATGATTGCATGAGTCTTAGCAGTTTTATTATTTGGATAACATAAATAAAATTTAAGTTATAAGTGAGAACATTAGGATTTTTTTGGTTTTATTTTCATTTCATTATTAAAAAGGTGCTCTGCTGTACAGTAGGTTACAAGAGGGTCACTGTATAATGGATGGTATTAAATTTGAATTCAATGATATAATATTATTGTATAAGAAAAACGATTCTGAGCGGAGACGATATGTCAGTCTAGGATAAGAGTATAAGACATATTATATACATATCTATGGTATTAAAAAAATTGACCTATAATAGGTACGGTGGCGTATTTACGATTTTGGCGCCCTAGGTACACACATTTTGATACCGGTATTAAATTCAATACCGACCCGAAAAAAATTGGATACCTGTATTATTATTAAAAACCGAAAATATAATTTAAAAAACGGGATTTTTTTTGAAAATCTTTGTATTTTGACATTTTTGAAAGTTTACTTTGCACAACAGCCGATCGGACGCTCAATCCAGTGATTCAAAAAAATTAATAAACTAAGAGTGAACGTAAATAGTCCAGGTCTTGAAACCAATTTTAGAAACCGGTATAAACCGTTTAAAAACTGAAAATGATGGCAAAATCAAAAACGAAATCGGAAAAAATCTGAATGCGGTATTAAATCCAAAACCAAAACAGAAAAAAATTGGAAACCAGTGTACAAATCGAAACCAAAACAGAAATTTTTTTAATCGGTTTCAAGCCATGTAAAAGTGAAAATTGATAAGCCAAATTGTATATTTTCCCCTCAGTGCATTTATGCTTCCACTAATTGAGAGAACACTTTTATTTTACCATTATAACATTCCATTTATTCCTAATAAAAAGTCAACCTTTATAATTAAATAAACAATTTATAATTTAGATTTTTTTACGACAATTTAATAAAATACATACATTATATATATATTATATAATATATAGAAATAAGTATAGAAATGTAAAAGATATTATAAGAAAGATACAGGTATTCACTTATCAGTTATCACTAATATAAATTCTCAACAAATCCAATAAAATAAAAAAATAATTTTGTTATAACCTCTATAGGGACGGCGCCCCTTTGAGGACTCAGAATTTGGAGCCCCGGGGCAATTGGCCCCCGTCACCCCCCCCCCCCCCCATAAATACGCCACTAAATAGGTACCTATAATAAATTAAAAATTAATCATATCACAATATCCATTAGGTATCTATAACGCGTTATATCTCAACAACAAACCCTGATACTATCATACTATCATAGATATATAATAGTGTACTTTAGAAGTTTCAAGTACAAACAAAATTATACAATCACACCAAAATAACTTTAATATATATCTTAGGTTTTTTATTATGCAATTTCGTCCAAATTTTAACTTCAAATGACTATAAATATAAACTGTGCTTATGTATTATTTAGATTTTTGTTTAACATAATTAACTACTTACATGGAATCTTGTTTTAAACTTTCAATCCTTAGATATAAAAGTTGAACATTTTATAAATTATTAACTACAAAATAATTATTCAATTTTAAATTTGATAAATTTTGTCAAACTTCGATCTTTAAACGCTTATAAAAAAAAATGTGCCTATGTATTTCAAATATTTTTCAGCTAATATTGTAACAATATATCAGGAGTCTTGTATTAAATTTTTACACTTTTTGGCCCAACAGATAAAACTTTATTGATATTTATAGAAACAAAAACTAAAATAAATTGAAAACTGAAAATGTCCGTAAACAGCTCAAAAAGAGTCAAAATATTTTCAAAATTGTATGGTCCATAGGAAATGCTAATATAAACATTCAGTGAAATTTGCATGTATTTAGAGTCCTTCGTTTTTGAATTATATGAAAATAAGAAAATCGTTACATGAGAAATCGAGTGATTAACTAATTTTTTAAAAATATGAATTTTAAACGCTCATAAAAATTTAATTTGACTTTCTTATAGACATTTTTTTTTTTCATAACGGTAGATAATCTCATAAGGAATCTTGTATTACATTCTAAAATCTTAAAAAGAAAAATTTTTACGAATTCTTAACTCAAAATAATTTGCTAATTTTCATGATTTTTCCATATTTTCTCAATTTTTGAACTTTAAATGCTTATAAAAATAATCTGTGACTAAGGATTTTTAATATTTTTCATCTGCCTTTGAAACAATATACTAGAAACCTTCTTTTAAATTTTCAAGCTTTTTTAACCAACAAATAAAATTTAATTGGAAATGAAAATATGATACATTTTTATTAAATTTGGATTGTCTTTTTACAGCATCTGATAAATAATTTTAATGACACTATATTAAAATTATGTACAGCAATAATATAATAAAAACATATATTGTTATATTTTATATTATATATATTATATTCATATCTTACCAAAAATAATAGGACAAATCATTTGGTCAGAAAATTTTGTTTTTCCTTTTTTGCCAGAATATGAAAACAATTTTAAGAGTTCATCAGTAAAGAGTTTGGCCATTATCCTTTTTATCATTGCTTTAAAATGTTTTCCTCCTATATATGTTAGTTGATTTATCTACAATACAAAAGAAAATATATTATATATACTACTAGTGTTTGAAGTATGTGAAATATTTCAAATGAAATATTTCATTTTGAAATATTTCACTAAGTTGTGAAATATTTCACAAAAACGTGAAACATTGAAATTTTTTTAACACAAATAAAAACACAATTTATTTATTTTTTTAACACAATGTTCAGTGTTCTAAATTCTAATGTCAGAATTCAGTAAGTATAAAATATACATGTATAATATTGTATACCTACTTATATCATTTAAACATTAAAATATTTAAAAATTTTGAATACCAATTTAAATGTATAATACCAAAGGTTAGGTATACATACAGGTACCATATAGTGATGAAGGTAATTTATGACAATTATATGTAAATATAAAACTTATTTAAAAATAAAACAAAATCTATTAAAATACTGAAATATTTCACATATTTTGAAATATTTCATGAAATATTTCACGAAATATTTCATTTTTTTAAATTTCATGAAATTTTCAAACACTATATACTACTAAATATTACTTATAGTATTCACTATAGGTACATGTAATACATGTTCACTATAATTTACTTATAGTGTTCACTATAGGTACATGTTAATAAATAATCAATATGCTTAGAAAATTAATATACCATGTTTGTTAATCATTAATCAATTTGACAGTCAATCTATAGTGATAAAAGTATAATAGTAACTGAATAGGTTAACTTTTTAAACTTTGGTTAATGAATAAAAATATAATTGTGTATAATATTATACATAGATTTTTACATAGTAATTAGAACAGATTTAAAAAAAATATCAATCTTACACGTTAATACGTCATAATCAATATCTTTAAGCTATTATATTTCAATACATTAAATATTATGTATTTAATAGTAGCACCCAAAAATCCCAAACCCACATTATGTTCTATACATATAGGCATAACCATATAGAAATACTGTTTACTTACCAAATTATTACGAAATGTTTCATCGTCAGATAATTTCTGATTAAATTCATATTCATTTAAGTCTGAGATAGTGTTCAATGGTAAGCCAGATATATCTTGTGAGTAATATGTGTTTTCATTATTATTAGCAGCTGTTTGCATATTACTGAGATTTTGAGTCTCCAAATTCTCCATTCTTTGGCCCAATTCCATTTGGTTGTTCACGATTCTCCTTAGTTCATGTTTGATGAAAGATAATTTATATAGGACTTCTTTTTGAAATTCTGTATCTTAAAGAAAAAAAGAAATTTCTTTCAAAATTAAAGTTATTATTAATAATAAATCTTATTATATTATGTAAAATGAGAAATTTCTTATTTTTATTAAAATTTAACTATAGATAACTGATAAATATAATATAGACTAACCAGGGTTTATCGATGATGTGTTAATGTCCAATGCTCGTTTTTCATTTGTCATGATCAAGTGTTTAACAGCGGAGCTTTGTTTATCTATAAAAATAAATATATACTATAATATAATTATATATTATGCAATGATGATTATTGAATAAAGTATAATAAACATATAGAATACTATATTTCTTATACACACCAAAGGTTCCTAAACTATTGTTTGATTCACATAATCCATAAAGAAAAATATTTGACCTATATTTCCCAGTAAAGATATTATAAAATAAAATCTTATATTTATAACTGTACCTATTTAATTTATTTTAATTATTCATATTTAATATATTAGAAAATAATTTATTTGAATAGTGTGTTTGTATTAAAGTTTAAAATTATAATCGAATGCGCAAATAGTCTAAAAAAATATGTGTTCACATTTTTAGTTAGTGCCTCGCAATATGGAGACTAGCACTTCCATATATATATATACAATAAATAAATATTGAAATTGTATTCTACATAGTTATTATATATATATTGATAAATTTAGGAGTATAATAATTAATTAATTAAATTATTTTACATCTCACGTCATACATATATATATATATATAGGTAACTTATAAGTCATAATTACAACACCTTAAAATAATTATATTATGATTTATGATACTTAATTTTATATTTTAATGCAGTAAAAAATTGTTTACCTACAACATAATTTATATTATAATTGATACTTAATTTCATATTAATGTGTTTTAATATAATTATAATATAACCTATATTTTTAATAAGATTACCTGAAGGTGTTACAGATGTAACTGCAGCTGCAGCCGTTTTATTTCGAGCAAGTACACTGCTATCATTAGCATCAATAGTGATGTAATCATTAGAATATTCAATAATATCATCACCATTATTCAATAGTCTATCCAATTCCACTAATTCTATGTCCATGGATTGAATACTGCTATTTTAAATATTTTTCACTAATGATTCTGTAGTTATTTCTGAAGCTGTATAAATTAGAGTGTTTATATAAACAAAATTAATAATACATTCCAATTAATATACTAAGAATAGTACCTATTGTATTAATATATTATTAATATTAATTATAAACTTTTACCAATATATTGTATTATAGTAATGCATAATATTTTTTTTAAGTACAAACAGAGTACAGACCATAATATACCTATTGAGTCTTGACAAATATTTACTTTTCCCTTTTCATTTCCATACAATTGTATTTTATTAAACACATTAGTCATTAATATAAGATATATAAGTATACATATAATAATCAACATTTACCTATATTTTCATTTCTATCGGAATCACTATAAGAAATTTTTCGAACTGCTGACTTTTTTATATTCACATCAAAATATTTAACTGATCCTTGAGGGTCTGATTGACATTTAACTATTATAGTAACATTAAAGTAATTTATGCAAAGGCAATTGAAATTAATTAATTTCATACATTTTACTCTATCAGTATAACGAAAACTTACATTTTTTTTTACTTGGAGAAGGTGACCATAATCTTTTTGATCTATGCGATTTTGAATTGGTAATTAATTTCACACCATTGTCAGAATCATCATCAGAAGCTAATATAAATAATAGAGGACAAGTTTTTTCATATAGTTATTTAAATTTAAAAAAAGCATCAATACATCATACCAGAATATCGTGGGCATGATGAAGAAGGGTCACTACAGTCCAATAACAGTTTTGGGTTGTTTTTCTTCTTTCTCATAATGTCATCACTATTTTCATCAGTAGACGATATATTTATGTTTGTCTCTCCTTTTTCTGCCATTTTTCGGGCATTAGTAAGTGATTCTATGGATTATTTACAGTAGAAACTTTAATATGTTAAATATATGATCTTTAATGTTATATATTATATGTATAATTTATACATTATAAGTAATTTAAGAGTATTATTAGTGTATACAATTTAAGTATATAATATAGTTAGAAGCTAATGTGACTTAGATTAAAGTTTAAAGGGATAGAATGATGAACTTAATAATTTCTAACTTATTATATAATGGAACATAAAAAAAATATCTGCTACAGCTGCAGTATTATAGTAACAATTATTAATTAATTATTATTTAAACTCTGACAATATTTTTTATTTTTTTTAACTGTAAAGCAGATTAATTACACACGTCTTCTTCTTTTAAAAACACTCAGAAAGTTGAGAAAAATTAACTTCTAACTTGCCACTCCAAATTATCCATATACCGCTATATATACATGCTTACCTTAATTATTAAATTTTAAATAAAAACATGTAAAAGCTATTAACATTAGTAATTACCACAAGTTTTCATCAGTATTGCTTTATAATATTTAAATTGAATTTCATTGGGGACCCTTTTTTTTTCGATTAGTTTCATAATTGCACTTCTACTTTTAGTAGTTGGCCATGCACATGTTTTATCTTTTTTGTTTACCCAACTAGTAGGAACTGCTTCAACAGTATTATCCTCAGTGAATACAATTACACTGTAGTTGTTGGACATTTTTAGTTTCCTCTGAAAAACATATAATCATCAATACAAAATATATAAACTAAATATAATATAAGCTATAACTATAAATATATATGCAATCATTACAACACAGTTAATACTAAATGTAACCACATTAACAAAAAAAAAATATATACATAAAATTATTTTTAATATACATATTATACAGGGTGTATCTTATGTCATTGTACGCGGGGTTTTTTGACGATTACGGAACGATAATATGGAATTTCGTTAAAACGAAAAAAGACGTGTTTCTTTATTTTTAACAAGCAATTTTTTTATAACAATTTCAAAATTTTTAAACACGCAGGTGTACCAATAGCAAAATCAACTTTTTTTTTCAAATGGTAACCACTATATTTTTTAATGGATTCTGGTAAAGCTTTTTTTTTTGAACATTTTGGTAGTCGAATCGTCAATTTTGGTTCTCTAGTTTATTAACTATGGTCCTCCAAAGATTAGTAAAATATGCATTAATACTTTTAATTAAAATAATGGGTATAGGTTTAATTTACAAGCGCTAAACAATTTTTTCTTATAACTACCATTTGATACTCTACAATAGTTGAATCGGTAATCTAATGCACCCTCAAAAAAAAAAAAAAAAAAAAAAAAAAAAAATAACAAACATAATTGTTTGTAAACATACTTCATTATTTTTATTTTAACATACGATCATAAAAATCAATATTATTATTTTAATATCCAAAACTAAAAAGGATGGAAAGGGATGAATTACAACTCCTAAGTTCATACTTTGGATGCGATACCATTATAGGGAATCTATGGTTAAAATATCAAGTTTATACTTTATTTATGATATTGTAAGAAAAGTAACTGTGATGAAAAAAATGTAAAGTAATTAATTACCTACGATTATAATAATAAATTAAAATAATAATATTGATTTATATGATCGTATGTTAAAATAAAAATAATGAAGTATGTTTACAAACAATTATGTTTGTTATTTTTTTTTTTTTTTGTGGGTTCATGGTAACGATTGATAATTTGTTCTAAAGGTTTTTCATGTTTCCTTAACATTTTTTTTAACACCTTCATGAAATTTTCAAATGGAAAACAAGAACATTCTTCAAGTGATTTAAACTTTCTATAATCATCAGTGATATGTAATAGGCCATGAACATTATGAGACACGTACTGTGCACCATAAAGTTCTTCAAACTTTTCCACAAAATGTTCCAATAATTTTTGACTAAAATTTACCAATTTTTCAGAACTATTTGGAGATAAAAGAATTCTAAAACTTATATGTAAACATAAAAAGTTAAAATAACAATCATACCTCAGAACATTTTTCAAAACAATAGGACCTGTATAGAGCAAAAATAATCTGAACTCAGTTGCCTTCCATCTGCTAACTTCATTTAAAGCTCTGGATTTTCGAGAAAAATCGCTAGGTATTAATGGATTCATGGATAATAAATGATTAGAAATTTTATTTATATCTTTACTAGGAAGGCGAAACATGACAGACGATTTTTTAAACATACCTAACCAAAGTAATAACATCTTTTTCATTACACCTAAACATACCAAGTGCATATAGTCAAGACTAAAGTTATTAACCATATCTATTTCTGGTACTTCGGTTAAAATAGAAATAGTATCAGTAACGTGATGATCTTCATCTGAACGATTAATAAAATCTATATGAGTCCTTTTCAAAAAATTTGTCCCTAAAAAACATGTAGTATTATTAACCCGTTCACCTTCAACTTGACATCTTGTACATGAAGAATATCCTGCATGACCTTTAATAGATAAAACATAACTTTTGGCAGGACAATCACAACAAAAGGCATCAACAACAACAGTCTTTTTTCCAAAAACTGTTTGTACTCCATTTTTATACAATTCTTTAAGCTCAGACACCATTTCTTTTAAAAAGGTATTGCTGTTATGGGGCTTATCTTTCCCCCAATATATAAACCGATTAAAAATACATGTTTTAAATTTGGGTACCGCGCATATCCTAAGATTGGCCAGAAAGTACTAGAAGATGATTTGGTTAGCGGTAGACCATCAATCCCAATGTTGATATGAATAACATCTTTAAACTTACCTTTAAACTCACCTAACGTATTTATTAAGCCATTAGCAACTCCAAAATGGTAATATAACCCAGGGGAAACCACTTGAATTTCATTACGTTGATGGACATTATTAATCTTTAATACTGTTCTGGCATCAACTGGGATATCACTGAAACAGCTATGATTTTTCAGTAATTTCAACAGAGCTGAAAATGCAGTTAAAGTAATATTTTGAGCAATTGCCCATTGTGCTAATATTTTTAGAACTTCATTTTTACCATCTAAGTTATTAATGACACCTGTGATACTATTATAACAATGATTATCAAGATCATCATCAGAGTTGGTACTTAATTAAATATTTTCAGTATCACTGTAGTCATCATCAATAGTAGTGATCGATTGGAAAATAATTGGAAGGAATTGGAGAAAATTTCGTATTAGAACTCATATTAATTGAAAATAAACTATCATCAACAGCATATTTAGGTAATTTTAGAATTTCTTTAGGTAAATCAGCATTAATACCTTGAGATGTGCTAGGTTGTAATTGCAATTGAGAATTTATATGGCTATCCGAAAAAAAATCTACAGTTTCTTTATCTAATAAAAATCTTCGGCGCTTGGTAGATTTACTAATATCATTTTTGATGAACTGTGCCATAGTAAAAGCCCAGCTATAATAGGTATGTGAGTAAAAGCAGTATATTACCACACACAAGATAAATTTTTGTTAACTATCAATTGATAGTTATAATTTTAGCTATAATAGGTTTTAGCTATATGTTAGCTATCATTGGTTATAATTTATAAAATAATCAATAGGTACAAAATACAAATACTTACGTTTGTACTTACCACTTACGTATATAGTTTAGTACTTAGTAGTGCGGACTGCGTATAGACAGCAATGAAAAACTGCAATTTACTGTATAGTGTATAATGTAAAACACGTGTTTGTACGCACTTAGCCACTTAATACTCACAAGTCACAAAGCATTTTAGTATTCTTTTCTATGGTGACTACCAAGATGTTATAGATGCAGGTCGCAGACACTTTATCCGATATTGAAGTCGTGGTTGATGAATGAATAAATAAACAGTTGTTGTATATTGTGAATTTTATTAAAACGCTCGATAATTTTCTAAGTCCAAAATAATATTGTACAAAGTGGCGTGAAGGTGCTTGCACTAATGGATGGTAGTACACGTCTGAAAACAGGCCGATTCGGGCTCCCTTTTATATGAAGTTCCCCGTACCCCTTGCCTATGGATACTGTATCTCGGCTCACGGATGTGTGGTCATCGTTCCAGCCCACACATTTCATGATTTCCTAGTATAATTCTGCGTATTGCTAAAATGCTAATCTATGATTCAATTAAAATAATCATTCTACTCTTTTATATTTTTATATTTGAATATCGTCGCGTACAGCGTTGTAATTAAAATAATCATTCTACTATTTTTTATTTTTATATTTGAACATTGTCGTATACAGGGCTTCCTGAGTAATTATATTATTCAGTGAGCCTGTCTTCTTATGCTAACCAGTAGGAAATCCTATTTCCGTTTCTAATATCCGATTTATGCCGATTTACAGTATATTATAGGTACTAATTATGTAGGTACCTGTGGAATCTGTTTTATTGTTAGGTAGTAACTTGCTTACTACAATATTGTTCTGTGGTATCATGGAAGCATAGACCATGGCTTAAGATAGACTATCTTTAATCGTGGCATATACCCTATATAGCTAGGAAGACCCATGACAAAATTACAAAAAAATTCGGCATAATTCTGGTTTAGCAACCTATCGATTTTTTTTTTAACTACTTTAATGCTGCACGGAGGAACTCGTGTTTGGTGTTTTTTTTAACAACTTCTGTTTAATTCAGAGGCCTGCCCAAGGTGGTTTTACATATTATGATTAGCCAATCGGCGGATATGTTCGATTTTTTGTCCGAGCGTTATTCAATTCTAAGTATTTTTTTTTTTAAAAATGCGCTTTATACCTAATATACGAAAGAAATGTAGTTTTTGAAGTTTTTGATCAATAACTTCAAAACGAAGTTTGTCCGAGCTTTTTTTTTTACATTCTTACAAAGCACCCTAAAACACACATTAGGTAGGTACCTTCCTATTTACTACCTAATAAAATAATAAAATATATAATGATTACCTAACTAATGTTAATTGTTATTTAGCCCTTTGACGAGTATGGACGTATATATACGTTATGTTGAAACGCTCCTCAGGGAGTATGGACGTATATTTACGTTTTACACAAAAACGTTATTTTATCTATATGTTATGTCCGTATTAAATTTACGATAATTTATGAATCATGTGCTGCTATCTACTGGCTATACATTTAACTAAATTATTATTTTGTTATATGTTTTTATAATTATTTTATAAGAGGTTATAAATTGAGTGTTCAAACCATGTGTTTTGGTGTTGCCTATCTGATATAAATTATACAAAATTACGTTGCTTGATAACAATATCAAGCGTGTTTATGCAAAATGATAATTATTATTTGTTATGAAATAATTGCACAAAAATTCCCGAAATCACATTCGTAGTATATGATTTCACGATTTAACAATTATTTGTATTTATTCAGCGTTGATAAATTATTATAATGAGTCTAAGCGATAAACAAATTATCGAGTTGATTACAAACGACGAGTCAGGCGATGGATATGAATCAAGTGATTTTTCTGATAGTTCAGATTCTGAAAGTAATTTTGCTAACTCTCTTAGAGAAAATCTGTTGAGTAGTATTTTGAATAACACAGTAGTATCAGAAAATAATCGTAGTTTAGACATAGAAATATTACCAATTGTATGTGAAGATAATGTTGTTATACCTCCAGTTAGTTTACCACAAACGCTATCTCCGAGTACTATATCACAAAACAAAAAAGGTCCAGACGTGTTTTCTGAAAAATGGTTTTATGATGATACTGCTATCAATAGCTTTGAGCCCAAAAAATTTGATTTTGATGATTCAAATACTGGAGATGATGATTTACTTGATGATTTACCTTCTCCTTTTACCGAGTATGATATTTTCAAAACTGTATTTGACGAAGATTTGGTACAACATATAGTAGACGAGACTAATAAATATTATCATTTTGTTATATCTAATAAAGTAATAACCGTAAAATCAAAATTAAACCGTTGGACTGATACAAACGTAGATGAAATGTATATTTTTTTTGCCGTATGTCTTCTCATGTCCCATGTAAAAAAAAATAAAATTAAAGAGTATTGGACAACTTCTTTTTTGCTGTCTACTCCCGCTTTTGGATGTATTATGTCCCAAGACCGATTTCTTTTGTTGCTTAGATTACTACATTTTAATGACAATAAAAATCAAATAAAAGGGGATAGATTATATAAAATAATACCTATTATTGAAACATTGCGAAAAAAATTCAAAACAATTTTTAAACCTAGTCAAAAACTCTGTATTGATGAGAGTATAGTGGAATGGAAAGGACGATTAAGTTTCAAGCAATTTATTCCATCAAAACGCCATCGTTTTGGAATAAAATTATTTGTATTGTGTGATTGTGAAACTGGATATCTACTAGATTTTATTGTGTATTGTGGTCAACAAAGTCACATCGATACATTGGACAATCTAGGCGTATCGGGGTCGGTAATTACAACCCTCTTGAAACAATATTATAAGAAAGGGCATATTGTTTACATGGATAACTGGTATACCTCACCAACTCTTTTAAAATATTTATCCTCTAAAAAAGTTGGTGCTTGTGGAACAGTTAAGGCAAATAGAAAAGGTATGCCAAATTTATGCAAAAAATTAAAAAGAGGAGAATGCAAACTGGCAATCACCAAAAAATCTAAAATTCTAGCTTGCAAGTGGAAAGATAAAAGAGACGTACTGATGTTGTCTACTATACATAAACACCAAATGAAAAATATAAATAAAAACGACAAATTACAAACAAAACCGAACTGTATACTTGATTATAATACTAATATGGGATTAGTTGACAAAACTGATATGATGATGAGTTTTAACGGCACAATCAGAAAATCTGTCAAGTGGTACAAAAAATTTTTTTTTCATCTATTGGATATAGCAGTTCTTAACTCTGGAATAATATATAACAAACTTATCGATAAGAAATTGAGTCTACCAAGTTATCGACTTCAGCTGATAAACCAAATTTTAGAAAAACATTCTAGAGAACGATTTAATTCACCAGGCAGAAAGTCAACAAATGACAATCCTACTAGGCTTGCAGCACGCCACTTCCCATCAATTATAACATCCACAGGCACAACAAAAAACGTTCAAAAAAAATGTCACGTCCATTCTCATACACTGCTTACTCAAAAAACACGAAAAGACACCAGATATGAGTGTAAAGAATGCAACAAGCCATTATGTCTTACGCCATGTTTTGAAGCATATCATACTAAAAAGAAATATTAAAAAAATTACACTTAGGTACTCCTATTATATATTTTACATTTGTTTAAAAAAATTGTTATTTTTATTTACCGTAATTAGGTTAAATTATTTATATTTACTTATTTCTAAATCGAGATTGAGGTACCTACAGAAAAAAAAATGTTTATACATAAAGTTCTATGTTTAGATTTTTGTTTTATTAATAATTTTAATTTTAATTTCGCAACATGTTATATTTTAATCAAGAATGATGTTAAAAACTTAATAATATTATCATGTATTTTTTATGTTTGGTTTATTTTTATTTTATGTAGTGAGCTATAAATTGTTACTATATTTTTACAACAATTATCATTTATCTCGTTAGTTGTCATTTTATATTGAATTGTTTTCTTTTATTAAAATTTAACCTCGTTTTTTTTCTATTCCGAAAATAAAAAAACAGAAATTTAAATACAATACTATTTTTTTTTTGCGTAAATATATTTACATATGCCCATGTTTTTACTAAAAAGGTAAACTAAAATCTAATGTTAAAAAAATGATAGGACGTATATTTACGTCTTTACTAAAATAGCGGTATCGTATTTAAGACGTAAATATACGTCTTTACTTTAAATAATTTATCCAAGTTGCTCATTCCTAATTCACTCCCTGGGTGTAAACTAATAAATCCCAATTCACTCTCCAAAGGGTTAGTATGATTTGTAGGTACCTACCTAGCAGATACCACATAAACAGTTTTAAGCTCAATTAAATAATGTTAAACATTTGGATTCTATGAGAAAAACTCAAACACACAATTTTTTTTTAGGGGTTTTCAGTAATTTATTCAAATTTTTACACTTTTAAGTTATAATATATCATATAGGTTATCTATATCACATTTTTGTATTTATAAATCCTGGTAGTCATGTTTTAGATTAATACACTTTTTACAACTTATAATTCGTAATGTAATTTAATTATCAAAAAAATATTACTTCCTCAACACTGTGCTAGGGGCACTAGCGGGAGAATGCATTTTAAGTTTGTTGATTTTATTAAACTTATAAACCATAATATTATACTAACATTTAAGATATCAAATTGTAACTTAGTTATGATTATAGGTACCTGTATAATACCTACCCTCAGGTTATTCACTGAATAATTATTAAAATGTAATACAAGTAATAATATTGTGTGTCGACAGTGTGCATTTATTTAAGGTAATGAATACCAAATCTAATTTACGTTATCAATATATTAGGAACTTTTAAATGTCTACCTGAAAGTCAGATTATATTTTTATGAGCTTGTGAATCGTTTAGCAACATTGGAATATTGGATATTCACTCAATTTCTCATATAGGTATAGCGTTTTTCTTATTTGGTATTGTAATTAAAAAACGACTAACTGTAGTTAAGTTGAAATTAAATCATATTTTATCAATTCCTGTACTTGATAACATTTTGACTCATTTTGATGTTGCGAACATTTAAAAATTTTTTTAGTTTTTTTTTCAATAAATGTCAATACAATTTTATTTGTTGGGTCAAAATCCGTGAAAATGTAATTTTTAAATTTTAAATTTTAAATTCTAGCAACGCAAACAAAATATAGTAGTCAATAAAATTTTATTTGTTGGGTAAAAAAGCTTGACAATTTAATACAAGGCTCTTTAAATATTGTTACAATAACAGTTGTATATTGTATATGCTATATTTTAATCTCTAAGGAAATATATTTCCTACATCATAGTATTAAGTATAATTTATAAGCTTCATTTTATTATTAACCATATAACACCATTAAATATAAGAAAAATATTCCATTAAAATGATACTGTGTGTCATAGTATTAACTATATTGGTTAATTATTTTTAAGAGTAAATACAAATGTATACCTTATAATTAAAACTACAATATTATTGAGTTTAAGATGAATATAATAGATTATAGTACTTGTTTGTCATAATTTTAAGGAAGCCATATCATTGTAGCAAAATAAAACATCATATTATAATTAACGTGTAGTCGATTTAATTAATTTAAAATATTCTATATTCATAACTTAATGAGTGAATTTCATAGGCTCTAAATCATACCCGTTTTCCATTAAATTTATAGTCGTTTTTCATTAATAATAAAACATTTTTCTCTGGGTGTAACTCTGTAATAACTCGCTACCTTCAACTCAAGCTACGCTTAAAGAAGGTAGCTAAACCAAAATGTTTTTAATTGTTTTTTTAGTATACTAATTGTACTAGTATTTTTATTATATTTAATAAATGGCTTATATAAAAAAAAAAAAAAAAGTTGAATAATATTAAAAGTACATATGCACAATTTTTTTTTTAAAGGCATTTAAAGTTTGATTTGACGAAATTGATCAAATTGAACATTTATAAAATGTTCAACTTTTATAGCTAAGGATTGAAAATTTAAAACAAGGTTTCATATAAATGGGTAAATAAGTTACTTTTTTCACAATAATATAATCAAATATACTTAGTCTATATATACAGTACCTACTATAGTTATTAATTTCAATGGATCTTTGTTTATATTGTGATTATTACCTATTACAATAACAATTGTTTTGAACATTATACTTTTTTGTAACATTGTACTTTTTATTGTTTTAAATAGGTAATGATAAAAAATATACATCTATAATTTATTATACCTATTTAAAGAAATATTTTGAAATTGACTGTTTTCAGACACAAAACATTTTCTTATTCGAATAATTTTTTTAAAAATATGTGAGGATATTATTTTGTATATTTACATATAATATATTCAAATATACATATATTTTATCAAGTTGGGGAGTCGTATCCATGGTCGTATGATGGGGACATAATCACGCCAAGGACCGTGCAGCAACAGCCGCAGGAGCAGCGGGGACAAAACCCCTGTAGATGGCTGCTAATCGTTTGCTCAGGGGGCCCCAACGGCCCATCGTATCTATTTTTAAATATTTAGGTACAACCCCCCATGAACACTTTTTTTTTTTTTTTTTTTTTTTTTTATTAAAATATAATTACAATCTATACAAAATTTAGAACAATAAGTAATATTGATATAGTATTTACATAATAACGTGAATGACAGATGGGGGAGGGCACTCAGTAGTGCCACCCGACGGATTAAATTAGAAGGTCTCTAGGCCAGGAGCGTTTTAAACGTCTCTGGGGGTTATCAGGGACTGTTAGAGAAGATATGCGTTTTATTAATGGATTGTAATGTTGGATTAACTTGGAATGAAAGGAGACGTAGTGAGACTTTGTTAATTGAAAGAGCGATGGAATATTTAGATCTTTGTGGAGATTATTATTTGAGATAAACCATGGAGCAGAGACAATTTGCCTCAGACAGATAGACTGGAATGCCTGGATTGTTCTCGTGTTGGAGTGTTTGGCAGAGCCCCAAATCTGGATGCCATAGGACCAAACGGGTCTGATGATGGTTTTGTATATTAATAGTTTATTTTTTAATGATGTCTTGGATCTAAGAAGTGGGCGGAGTAAATGGAGTCTGGAGTTGACTGTTTTTCTTTTTATTTTAAGGTGTTGGGCCCATGTGAGGCGCCTGTCAAAGATCAAACCTAGGTATCTTATTGTCGGGGTGATTGGGATTTGGTTATTATTAAACGATACAGAGGGGCAGTCACCTGGTCTAAGAGAGAAAGTAATAAATGATGATTTAGCTTCGTTAATTTTAATCCTCCAGCTGTTTGACCATAGTTGAATCGAGTTGAGATGATTTTGAAGCCGGAGAGATACTACCCGGGGGTCATGGTTTGAAGCCAGGATTATCGTGTCGTCAGCATATGTACCCAGTGATGTATGAGGAGAGGTCGGAGTGTCATGGGCGAATATAGAGTATAAGAAGGGAGCTATGTCACTTCCTTGAGGGACTCCAGCTAGTATTTGGAAGTTTGACGAGTAGCTGTTGTTAACGCGAACACAGAAGGTGCGATTTTCGAGGTATGATTTTAAGAGAAGGTAGTAGGGGGCAGGGAGGAATTTTTTGAGTTTGAAGAGTAGTCCTTCATGCCACACCTTGTCGAAGGCCTGAGCCACGTCAAGGAGTACAGCCGCACAGTAAAGTTTTGATTCCATGCTGGTAGAGATTAAGTCGACAGTGCGGTGGAGCTGGTGGATGGTGGAGTGCTTGGACCTGAATCCAAATTGGTGGTTTGGGATGATGTTGAATTTGTCCGATAGTGGAAGTAGCCTTTTGAGAAGTATTTTTTCAAAAATTTTTGCGAATGTGGGGAGGAGAGAGATTGGTCTGTAGGAAGACGGGATATCAGGAGGTTTGTCCGGTTTTGGGATTAGGATTATGTTTGAGTGTTTCCAGGCTGTAGGGAAGTAGGATAAACGAAACATAGAGTTGAAAATTAGTGCTAAAAGAATGATAGATTTTTCAGGGAGGTGTTTGACAACTAAGTTGCTTATTAGGTCGTGCCCAGGGGCTTTTTTGGTTGGGAGTTTGCGGATGATGTATTGAATTTCACCCGGGCTAGTATGTTTGGCAGGGAGGGCCATAGGGAGAGGGGATTCAAGAAATCTAGTAATATTTAGAGTATGAATTTTATTTGGTATGATATTATGTGGTTTGAAAACGTTAGCTAAGTGTTCGGCGAAAATGCTGGCTTTATCGGAGTCAGAGGAGGCCCACGAATTGTTTGGCATACGGAGTGGGGGGGATGGTAGCTTATGATGGATTAATTTTTTAGTGGCCTTCCATAAAGATTAGTCTTTAGTTGAGAGGTTTTGGATGTAGTTTTGATAACTTTCGTTTTTGAGTTTAAGAATAGCTTTGTTTAGTTTATTTTTCAGATAATTAAACGTTGCTTTGTCCGATGGGTATTTAGATCTATGCCATTGGGTTCTGGCTCTGCGTTTGTCGGCGAGTAAGAGCATGATATGGGCAGGAATATTAGTATTATTCCGGGGTGGAGGATGGTTACTCGAGGCCGCGGAGGCAGAATTTTGAATAGTGAAAGTTAAGGAAAGGATAGCGC